GCTGCAGCTGGCTGTGTTCACGATAATTATGTTCTGGTGCTTTCCTTTCGAACGTTGATGCTGATCAGAGTGATGGCGCTCATTATGGCACTGCGCCCGTTTTTGAAAAGCGGGGGAATGACAACACAATGAAAGGTGCTGGTGAGGAGGAAGAGAGGGAAGCAGGTAGATAATGACATGTTCAAGGACCATCGTAATGAGGGAGATGTTGATCATAACGACGGCGATGTTAATGATGTTGCTGATTGTGCTCGTGGTGGTGGTGCCCATGACAATGATGATGACGACGATGACAATGATGAGGCTGAAGAGTGCGCTAATGATGATGAGGATGGTTGGTGCGATCGTGGGAATGATTCCGTCGACGGGGGACATGCTGATGGCGGTCATTGTAACGATATTTGTTGTGATGCTGATGGTGATTCTGATGTTGAGATGCCCGATTTGGATCATGTCTATGAGGATGAATAAGATGGTGACTTGGCTGCTGCAGATGGCGGCGTTCACGATAATGATGTTTCGGGTGATTTGCGTTTGATTGTTGATGCTGATCAGGGTGATGCCCCTCATTATGGCAATGCGCTCGGTGTTGAAAAGTGATGAGGAGGACGACAACATGAATGGTGTTGGTGAGGAGAAAGGGAGGGAACTAAGTATATGATCGTTAATGATGAGGCATATGCTATATCATAACGACGACGATGGTAATGATGATGCTGACTGTGTTCGTTGTGGTGACGCCCATGACGATGATGATTACCGCGACGACCGTGATGCTGATGATGAGGCTGCAGCGTGTGCTTATGATGATGAGGACGGTTTGTACGATCGCGGTGATGACTCCGTCGACGAGGGATATGCTGATGGCGATCGTTGTAACGATTTTGATTGTGACGATGGTGGTGCTGATATTTGGGTAATGATTTGGGCGATGATGACTAGTGCGATGATGACTTGGATGCTGCACATGGCGGCGTTCACGATAATTAAGTTCTGGTGATTTGCCTGTGGACGTTGATGCTGATTAGGGTGATGGCGCTTATTGCGACAATGCGCATGTTGTTGGTGTGGATACTGGTGACAAGTTAGCTGTTGATGGTCAGTTTTGCTCCCGCCCTGGACTTCGACCCCCAGAGATCCACGGAGGTCCTTGGAGGTCCCCGGAGATCCTGTGTTCGTGGTGGTGATGCTGATGATGATGATGGCGACAACGATGATGATGAGGCCGAAGTTTCTGCTTATGACGATGAGGAGGGTTTGGACGATCGTGGCGATGATTCTGTCGACGGGGGTACCGCTGATGACGCTCATTGTTACGATTGTGGTTGTGATGATGATGATGATGATGATGATGATGATGATGATGATGATGATGATGATGGTGCAGATAGTTGTGATAATGATTTCGATGATGCTGATGAGGAGTACGATGATGATTCGGATGATTCAGATGGTGACGTTCACGATAATGGCGTTTCTGGTGATTTGTTTGTGGACGTTGATGCTGGTTAGGGTGATGGCGCTTACTACGACAATGCGCATCTTGTTGGTGTGGATAGTGGTGACAAGGATGCTGTTGATGGCAAGTTTGGCTTCCGCGATGCGGATGTTGATGCTGACGCTTACGATGATGATACATGTGTTGTTGGTGTGGATACTGATGACACTGATGCTGCCCATGATGTGGTCGGATATGCCGATGACAACGATGCTGATGATGTTCATGATCATCCCAATGGGCTGTGTCCCACCCTGCCACAGTGCTTCGCTCGTGGTCCAGAGTCCTCGGGGATGTTGTTTCGGTCCTCTTCAGAGTATTCTCGGAGGCTTCCGGAGGGCAATTCTTGACGCGTCGCGTATTCCCACCAACCCTGCCCGCCGCCTGCCTCTTCGCTGGCGGCCGCGACCGAAAAAGTATTCCCACCAACCCATCCAGGAACGATGCCCAGGAGAGCTGACGGGAAAAGGGAGGGGAGACGCACATAGTGAAACAGCGTGGGCAACAATTGTGAATTGGGAGATCTCTGGTAGCGAAGGGTGTTGGTGCTGCTGCTGGTGCTGTTGCCTCTGATGGTACTGCTGCTGCTGCTGCTGCTGCTGCTGCTGCTGCTGGTGTTGCCGGTTCTCGTGCTGCTGGTGCTGCTGGTGCCGCTGGTGTTGCTGCTAGTGGTGATGGTGGTGCTGCTGCTGCTGGTGCTGCCGCTGCTGCTAATGCTGTTGGTGGTGGTTGTGGTGCTGCTGCTGCTGGTGCTGCTGCTGGTGCTGACGGTGATGGTGGAAGCAGGCTGTGTAACAATCGCCTCGGACGCGTTTTCTCGGAGGTCTCTTGGAGCCATCTTGGGGGTCTATTGGGGTTCTCTTGGGGGCCCTCTAGGGGCATTATTGGGGCTCTTTTTCGGTGTCTTGCGGCCCTCTTGGGGTTCTTTGTCAGGGTCTGGGAGGCCTCTTGGGGCCGTCTAGGCCCCCATTTGTTCAAAAAGAGGGATGTCCCCAATTCAGGTCCTCTCCCTCGGAGGCTTAAACAGGGCGTCGTGGGACCCCCTTTGGCCGCTCTTGGAGCGCTCTTGGGCGCTTTTGGGGCCGTCTTGGGGCCCTCTTCAGCCGCTCTCGGGGCTCCCTTGGGCTACCTTGGGCCCATCTTGAGGCCTCAAGAGCCCGTCGGAAGCGAAAAAGCGAAAAGGCTCAACAAAACACATTGTAGTTGCAAACGCTGTCGGCTATTTGGTGCCAGACGACAGCAGACGAAAGCAGACGATAAAAGACGATAACAGACGATAGAAGACGATAGCAGACGATTGCACCCAAGTGCCTTGTTGCCTCCTATTTGCCCCTTGCGGTTCCCGCCAGCCCCACAGCTGGTTTGGTGCTATCGTCAGTTTTCGTCTGCAGCGGGTCCTGGCAGCTCCCAGTTGGTCCTATCGTCTGCTATCGTCCGCTATCGTCTGCTGCAATGGCCGACGACAGCCCCCCCCCGGCGGCCCCAATCAGATCCCATCGTCTGCTATCGTCTGCACCGTTTCTCTATCGTCTGCAGCGGGCCCTGGCAGCCCCTAGTTAGCCCTATCGTCTGCTATCGTCTACAGCCACCCCTGGCGGTCCCTGTCAGATCCTATCGTTTGCCATCGTCTGCAATCGTCTGCACTGGTTCTTGGCGGCCCCCAGCTGGACCTATCGTCTGCTATCGTCTGCAATTGTCTGCAGCGGTTCCTGGCGGCCGCTAGCTGGTCCTGTCGTCTGCTATCGTCTGCTGCAGACGATGGCAGACGATTGCCACGAGTGGCCCTAATGCGTCGATGCCCTTCCAGCAACGATGATCAGGGAGAGGATGGGGAGTGGAGCGAGGAGGGGTAAAGAGGATGAGGAGGAGGAAAACGAGGGTGAGGAGGAGAGCGAACGGAATTGGGCGGCGGGAGGAGGATGATGAGTACGAGAATGAGATGGGGGAGGAGAAGTGGAGTGTGAGTGTATATTGGTGTGCGCCTGAGTGTGAGTGTGTATGAGCTTAAGTTTATAGGAGTGTGAGTGGTCTGTTTATGAATGGGTCTGTGTGCGTCGATGCCCATCCAGCAACGATGCCCAGGCGAATGATCTTAATCAGGGAGAGAATGGGGAGGGGAGCGAGGAGGGGGAAAGAGGATGAGGAGAAGGAGGAAAACGAGGTGGAGGAGGAGAGCGAACGGAATTGGGTAGCGGGATGAGGATGAGGAGTACGAGAATGAGAGGGCGGAGGAGAAGTGGAGTGTGAGTGTATATGAGTGCGCGCCTGAGTGTGACTGTGTATGAGCTTAAGCTTCTAGGAGTGTGAGTGGTCTGTGTGTGAATAGGTCTGTGTGCTATTGAGTTTGATTGTGCGTGAGTCTGGGTGTGAGTGAGTCTGAGTGCGGATGAGTCTGAGTATGAGATATGAGTGAGTGCGAGTGTGGGTGAGTCTGAGTGTGAGTGCAGGTCGGGCCTTGAATCTGGAGTTTGAGTGCGTCCCGGACCGAGTTCCAGCGGTCCCAGGGCCCGAAAACAGCTTCCATATGGCCTCACTGGACTCGCCGGACTCACCGGACTCACTGGAGTCACCGGACCCACCGGTGCCAGCGGGGGAGGCACCGAACTCACAGGACCCGCCGGACCCACCGGACTCGCTGGACTCACCGGACTCGCTGGACCCACCGGACCCACCGGACCCACCGGATCCGCCAGCAGCGCCGGATCCGGCGGGGCCCACTGGACTTGGGCAGCAGGGTGCGCCATCCTCGCAAGCAGGGGCCAGGAGGAGCAGGGGGGGCAGGAGGAGCGGCGGCGGCGGAGGCTGCGCTGTTCTCGCCGGATCCCCCTCGGATTCTTGCTGCGTCGTTTGACCAAGTTGCCGCTGGTGCCGCTGCTGATTCGGATCCAGACGGCGCGCCTGATTTCGTCGAGATCATGAAGGACAGCGGCATGCAGCCAGTGTCGATGGCTAAGGTGCGAAATGCCATGGGTAACGAGCGTGACGAATGGAAGCTGGCCGTGGAGGCAGAGCTCGCTTCTTTCTCGGAGAAGCAGGTCTTCGAGACCCTCGCCGAGGGCGAGAAGTTGCAGGTACGAACCAAAGACGTGCTCCCTATGAAGTGGGGTGCTGGCATCAAGGCGCCGGCGGCGTCTGATCCAGCTCAGCGCAGGCGCAAAAAGTTCCGCGCGGTCGTCTGCGGCAGCTTCCAGAAGCCGGTGCCAGGTGAGGTCGTCTTCGCGAGCAACGTGGAGGTCCTCAGCGTCAGAGCCGCACTTTCGATCGCGAGTGCGGCTGGGCACTGAAGGCGCTGGACGTGTCCACGGCCTTCCTGAATGCGCCTCTCCCGGACGAGGCCGGAGAGGTTTTGGCGCGCCCGCCAAGGATCCTCTCCTCTTACGGGCTCGTTGGGCGCGACGAGGTTTGGAGGGCTAAGAAGGGCATCTACGGCCTCCGCATCGCCCCAAGAGCCTGGGGCTTGAAACGGGACAGGCAGATGCGTGATATGAGGTTCGAGGTTAATGGCGCAAGGTGCCGGTTGATCCAGTCGCGCTGCGACGCCTCCGTCTGGAGCATCATGGAGGACGTGCCGACGAAGTCCGAGAGCGAGCAGAGTTCGTTGGGCTTGGTCTTGGTCTATGTGGGCGACTTCTTGCTCGCCGGCGGCAGTGAGACGATCACCGCAGTGGAGGAGGTGATGATGGCGATTTGGACGTGCTCGGTCCAATCGCTCATCGACCGTGCGCACCTGGGCACGATCAGATACCTCGGGCTTGAGGTTGAGGCGAGGGCCGACGGTGCGTTCGTGGCCCATCCGGCCGCATGCGTGGAGGACCTCTTGGGCGGGTGGCAGATGACGAACGCCAATGCGTGCGGCAACATGTCCATCGAGCCGCTTGGGGAGAAGATTGACGCAGAGCCCGAACTCGGCGACGTGCGCCTCGCCCAGAAGCTCGGCGTCTTCGCCGACGCCAGTTTCGAAACCGAGTTCTCCCAGACGGGCGCCGCGGTGTACCTGGGCGGGGGCCTCATCGACTGGCGATCCGTCAGGCAGGCGCAGGTTGCGAGATCTACGGCGGAGGCCGAGATTGCGGCCCTGGCCATGGGCGTCGTCATGTTCGAGGGCGCGGAGGCGAGCCTCGCGAGCATGATGGTACAGCTGCCGCTCTCCAAGATGTGGGGCGGCAGTGCCGCGTCGCTGTGCTTGGCCCGGGGCCAGGGCAGCTGGAGGACGCGCGCGCTTTCCAACAGGGCGTCGGCCCTCCGCAGCCGGATGGAGAGCGAGACCCTTCAGCTCGACCACGTCGGGTCGAACGAGCAGCGGGCTGATGGCCTCACGAAGGTTTTCTCGGTGCCCGCCATGTCCCGGATCAGGGGCCACTTCCGCCTCCGGGCTTTGTAAATATTGCGTGGCCGCATCGTTTGTCGAGTGCGTCTTGCATCAGAGACAGCGGGGGCCTCTGCTGTGCACCGGCGGCGCTGCGGCACCTAATGCCGCGAATTGTTGCATTGAGCTGCGCGTTACTTTTCGATATCAGCGCTCCCCTGCCCCAGCAGGGCAGCACACTCGCGAAGCTTCGGACGGGCTGCGGGGCCCTGGCAAAGAGGAGGAGCGTGGGTCAGGGAGCGCAGCGTTGGCATGAAAGCTTAAGTATGGTAGCCATCGCCGCCACGAAATTCGTGACATTTTCGTTGCGTCTTGCATTGGGGTGCGATTTATTTTTCCGTGCTGGCATCATTTGCTTCCACTGTGTTGCATGACTTGTCATTTGCTTGCAGTGCGTTGCTTCACTTGCAAATGTTCTTGTATAGGCCTCCAGGAACATCTGGGCGAGGGGCCGAAAATGAGCTCAACACTTTCAACTCCGTTTCGTGTGGTGCGGTGCGGGAAGCATCGCACAGCACTGCATTGAGCTCTGGGGGCCCCATGCGATAACTTTTGGCCGGTGCCCTTTTTCGGCCCCAAACGGCCTCCAAAAGGGCACCGATGTTTGTTGGCCAGGGAACTCTGGCCGGTGACCTCCGACGGCCTCCGGCGACTTCAAAAAGGTCACCGGCGGCCGGGTCGCCAGCAACAGCGCGAAGCAAGTATTGTACATTCGTGCGTGCTTGCGCCTCTCAGGGGAATGCGGTGCGCCTCTACGCCCGCGTGAACCTGGGTGGGAGGGGGGCCATCCAAATTCAGTGCTACACTACGCCTGCGTGCGGATGCCTCCCAGTAGTTTTGTGGCGCTGCCGATTGGCTCAAGTGCGCGGTGGTGCCTTGCGCGACGGTGGCTGGCGCCACGCGCACGTGCCTGGGGAGGACGTGCCGCGCGGAGCGGCCCGAGCGCGGGAGCCGGGAGGCCGCAGCGAGCTCCTGGCGCGGGTAGCGGCATCTTCGGGCGCAGCCCCTTGTCGGACGAGGCTCGGGTCACCCCCAGGGGCACGAAAATAATCGCGCTTTGCGCATCGCGGCTTGGGATGAATGGGGCCCTTCTCCAGTGCGCCGGCGCGAGGGCGCGAGCGCATCGCGGGGCGCGATGCGCGAAATTCGGCGACCTAGGAGACGGGTGGATCATGCTCTTCAGCTCGCTTTTGTTGCGAAGGCCTCACGGCCGGTGCCGCCGACCCTTAAGGGGGACGACGACGACGACGCTTGCAGACGATTCAGGCGGATCAGAATCTTCTCTTTTTTATTCAGGGCGGCTCGCCCAGGGGGGAAGGCAGAGGGAGCTGACCTCAGAAGGCTCAGGGGGCCTCCGGACTCCTTGAGAAGATGGCTGAGCCTGCTCCGAAGCCGTGGAGTGCTTTTTCAGAAGGCCGCGGATGGCTTCTGAGCAGCCCCGCCGCCTTTGAGAAGTCCTGCTTCCTCTCGCTTCCTCCCTCGGCGAGCCACCGATTCGTGCATCCAAGTGGGGGTGCGTCGCGTCGGTGTCTTGCTGGACGTGCCCTCTGGGGTCCGCCTTCGCTCGCATAGGCTGCGAGGGCAGGTTCAGTGGCAGTCTCCCGAGAGGGGAAGGGGAAGAGGAGGGGGAGGAGGAGGAGGAGGAGGAGGAGCAGAAGGAGGAGGAGGAGGAGGAGGAGGAGGAGGAGGAGGAGGAGGAGGAGGAGGAGGAGGAGGAGGAGGAGGAGGAGGAGGAGAGAGAGAGAGAGAGAAAGAATCGTGACAAAGATGAGGAAATATGGGAACACGCCCCTTGTTTTCGAGGCCTGGGAAGACTGCCATTATGGTATCCAGTATGGGAGCAGCAAGGAGAAAGGGGAGGAGGAGGAGGAGGAGGAGGAGGAGGAGGAGGAGGACGAGGTAGAAGAAGGCGACAGGAGGCAGGAAACGCTTCCAGCGGCCAGGTCCTGAAGTGGTTCACCCAGGCCATCCTTGCGCTCAAGTACGCTTGGGGCTCAGCTTTGCCCTTCCCTGATCACGGCTCTGCTTCAGCCGCCTTCTCGCGCTTGTGGTCATCGTTGTCGTCGTATGCATCATCACCATCATCATCACCATCACCATCGTCGTCATCATAATCATCATCACCCCCATCATCATTATCATCATCATCATCATCATCATCATCATCATCATCATCATCATTTCACCACCATCATCATCATTATCATCACCATCCTCATCATCACCACCATCATCATCAAACTCATCGTCATCACCATCACCATCGTCACCACCACCACCACCACCACCATCGTCGTCATCAGCATCATCATCTCCACCACCACCATCATCATCAGCATCATCATCACCACCATCATCATCAGCATCATCATCACCATCACAATCATCACCACCATCGTCGTCATCAGCGTCATCATCATCACCACCATCATCATCACCATCATCATTCTCATCACCATCATCGTCATCATCATCACCACCATCATCGTCAAAGTCATCATCATCATCATCATCATCATCATCATCATCATCATTATCATCATCATCATCATCTTCAGCATCAGCATCACCATCACCATCCCAATCACCATCATCATGGTCATCACCATCCACATCATCAGCATCATCATCATCATCATCATCATCATCACCATCACCTATCATCATCAACACCATCATCATCAGCATCACCATCATCACACTTTTCAGCCTCGTGCGGCAGCTTTTCAGCTTCAGCTGACAGTATGCATTGCCCGTGCTCCAAATCCCTGATCGCTGACACTTCGACCACTGATGGAGGCTGAAGTGAAACAGACCTGCCGCGCTGGTGATTTGTGCTGGATCGAGTCATTTCAGGGTGTGATCGCCAAATGTGCTCCACAGTTACTGTCCTCTCTAGGTGCAGTTTCCTGCCCCCATCAGTGTGTCTAGATCTGATGCGCGGCACTTCTGCGAGGTTCTCGCTGTGGCCATAGTCATAGTACCTATACGACCACCCGTCGGGTCATAAGGAGGTTCGGGGGGGGGGGGCAGGCACCAACGTCTCACTCAATCTATCTCACTATTTATCTCACTCTCGATCTCAATCGACTTCACTATCGATCTCACTGTCAATCTTACTGTCGATCTTACAATCGATATTACTATCGATATCACTCTCGATCTCACTATGAATCTCACGATCGATGTCACTATCGATCTCATTGTCGGTCTCACTACCGATGTCGCTGTCGGTCTCAGTATCGATCTCGCTATCGATCTCACTGTCGATCTCGCTATCGATCTCACTATGGATCTGACTATCGGTCTCACAATCGATCTGACTATCGATCGCACTTTCCATTTCACTATCGATATCACTGTCGATCTCACTGTCGATGTCACCATCGATCTCACGATCGATCTCACTATCGATCTCACGGGACATCACGGGCCACCACGGACCACCGTGGGACACCGCGGGACACCACGGGCCACCATCGGGCACCCGCGCTTCACGCGGCTCACTCCTCTCGCTGGCCCACGCAGCTTCGCCTCGCCCGCACGCACAGCGCAAGCTCGAAACCGCAGCCGATTTCTCGGTGGTGGCTCTTCGTTCCACTCTGATCTCACCCCCGCACCTCAGAGGCGACGACAGGGTCGAATAGCCCGGGGGAGAGCAATACATGTATTCAGGTGCGCCGATGATCTATGTCTTCGCAAAAGCTCCCGGGCGAATGCGTGTAATGCCCGCCCCTGGGCTATTCGCCCCTAACGTCGCCGCCGATCACCTCTGATATCGAGCTTGTCGCATTCTATACAGTGCCACTGGAGGTGCCTAGGCGCAATATTTGTGGCAAGGCGTTGGACATCCTCATACCCCCGTAGCGTGCCGATTCATGTTTCGAGCGTGTTAATGCTAACGCCACGCTGAGCAGGGTATACGACGGTTTGCATACCATCTTGTCCCCGCCGCACACGGTACCGAGCATGTCAGAATTCTTACACCATAGTCGTTCGCTTTGATTATGCGAAATGTAAGCGTTCGTTGTGCTTGAGAATTTTACGAGTATGCATGCCTGTCTGCACCAGGCGAGAATGCATTTTTATGAGTTTCGCCTTGTGAGTGGTGGGCCGGCCTGCGATTTTGAAGGCCCCAATCCCATCTCCATTTTGATTTGCTACGCTTCAGTGTGCAGTGCGCGCGAATCCTGCTTGTATATTACGTTATATTGTTTCATTGCTTTGCTAATGCGCTATTAAGCGCCTGGCTGCTGTCTGTCTGTCTGTCTGTCATGCCTGGCTGACCTTTTCGGGTGTGTGACGAATGCAGCAACAGGCAGATCAGCTCTCGAGGTTGGGCGACCAGGTGGCCATTCAAGGCAGATCGGTTCTCAATGGTGGGCGCGAGGTATGGTCGGCCGTCTCCGCGAGGCTCGAATCGTCGGTTGGATCAGGACCAGTGCCAGGTTCGCGATCAGCCGCATTGATCAAGGGGAGGAGGATGAGGAGGTTAGGAGGGGTGCTATGTATGGGTGAGGGACATGATGATGAGGGGGAGGAGAAGGATGAGGAACAGGAGGATGAGAAGGAGGAGGATGAGGAGGAGGAGGAGGAGGAGGAGGGAAGAAGTTGACGGTGATAACGAGGGTGACATGGACCCTCAACTTGACTCACGGAGCTGCGCGGGCCGCGCGCCGCGCCGGTAAAAATGTGGTCGGAGGGTCGCGCCGCATCGCCGATGCATCGGAGATGCGGCTCGATGTGGAGCCCGATTTCCTCCACGCCAGCGTCGCCGATGCACCGCTGCAGCGGACGAGTCGGGGATGCGGCGCGATACTGCATCTGCTTGGACCCCATCTGGGAGCCTGCCGAGTCTGCTTGCCCTAAATTGGTTTTGCCGTCGGATCAAAGACAGATGCGCAGACTTCTCCTAGATCTACGCGTACTTTGCGCCCTTCTCTCAGAGTTGAAAGCGACCTCACCGCTGGTACATCCATTCTGCAGTCGATCGCCTACTCGAGCAGCCCGCTCTGCTTCGCGGCGTGCCCGCCGCGCGCTGCATGCTCTCCCCGCGCGACCGCGCGCGCGCGCGGTCTGGTGCGGTGGCCCGCGCGGCAGAGCGTCCGCTCGTGCGGCGGGCACGGCGGGAGCGCGGCGGGAGTGAGGCGAGAGCTCGGATTCCGAGGGGCGGGGAGGAGCGCGGAGCAGGATGAGTATCTCGGCGGCGAGCGGGGGGGGGGGAACGAGGAGGAGGAGACCTTCTCAGGAGGCGGTGTGGCCCCTCAGACGCTCCGACGGCCTCCGGTCTTCAATTTTCGTTTTCTGTTTCTTCGGGCGAGGTCTCGAGATCTTCTCAGAAGGCCGGGGGATTTCCCAGCCTTCCCAGAAGACCTTCTCTTTCGCCTTTCTCCCCGGGGCTCGCCGCCGAGGGGAGGAGTGCGGAGCAGGATGAGTATCGGGAGGATGGGAAGGCAAGCCCCCTGCTGCCCTTCGTCGTCCTCCGCCCCCCCCGCCTCTCATCTGTATTTTTCCTTGCTCCCGCCTCACTCGTTTGATCGTCCTGCTCTTCCCTCTTTCTCCTCCTTGTTCTTCCCCTCCTCCTCCTCCTCGTCTTTCCTCCTTCTCCACCCTCCTTCTCCTCCTCTCCACGGCCTTCCCGTGCTTCTTATCTCCTTGTTCCTCTTCTCATTCGCCGACCTATTTATCCTGGCCTTTCTATTTACACGTTGTTATTCCTTTTCTTTCCACATATTTATTTCCCCCCTCTCTATATTTACATATATGTCTATATATACACATAGTTCTACATGATTAAGTGCACGTGTGTGTACATACATATATATATATATATACACATGCGTCTGTATGCATGTGTATACACATGTACGTACATGCATATGTGTGGAATATCTATGTGTATAATCTGTTTTTTTCCCCTCGTCCTCATGCTTCCTTCTTCCCGCTCCTTCACCCTTCTCTCCCTCCCTTCTATCCCCTTATCCTCCACGTCCTCCTCATCAACATCCGACCCTCCCGCATCCTCCCCACGCCTGTTCTCCTCCTGCTGTTCCTCGTCTCTCCCTCCCACTCTTCTCCTCTGTGCCATCCTCGTCCACCTCCTCCCCCCCTCTTTCTGGTAGGAGGGCGAAGACGAATGGGCACCTCAGGGGGCATGCCCTCCTTCCAGAGATCCGACGTTTTGTTTTTCAGTGCGAGTTCATGGAAGTCCCAGTTCTGGCGTGGGCCCCCAGACGTCGAAAACAGTGAGAATCCTCCGTGATATTTTTGTTTCAATGCTTCGGAGGTCGGGGTTTCTCCTTCAAAGAGGGCGAGGGGTCTACGTCGCAGGTCCACGACAAGCACATCCTGCATCGAGACCTCAAGCCGGCCAACTTCTTCCTGTCCAAAAATGGGAGCCTCCTCCTCCTCCTTCTCCTCCTCCTCTCTCCCCGCCCCTCTCCTCCTCCTCCTCCTCCTCCTCCTCCTCCTCCTCCTCCTCCTCCTATTCTCTCTCCCTCCTCCTCTTCCTCCTCCTCCTCCTCCTCCTCCTCCTCCTCTTGTTCCCTCCTTCCCGTCCTCCTTTCCCTGATATTTGCCTTGGCACGGATTCGACTTGCATCGCCGAGAGATGCGCGGATCCAGGTAGTTCCCAGAAGATAGTGCCACTCATGTTCTAGTAGAGCGCGTCTCTTTGGTCGGTATACCAGCGTATCTTGCCACGAACCGTTGCGCACATGATCCTAGGGTGTGCGGCTTGTCGCTGACCCATTGGGATTGCGCACCCCACAGTGGTGCAAAACGGGCTTTTCCCGATAGCCACACCCTGGTTCTGTCTTTCTGACCCTGCCTGACCAATCTTGTGGCAGGTTTCTGCAGAGGTCGCTGCGAAGGAAGTCAGCAGGCTGAAGCATCCAACAATGCACCTACCTTACAGTGATGATAGTGGATTGGGTGCTTCGTACTGTCTTGAAGCCGCGGTGTTTGGCCGATGGAGTGACCAGGCTGTGCAGCCAGTCCCTGCGCTTGCGCAAGGCAGGGACCGGCATGTGCGTCCTAGGCCCTGCCTCCAGTGACCAGGCAGTCACTTAGATGTTTTTCGAACGTGGCTCCACCACGCGCGCCTACAGTGGAGGCCCATGCCAAGAAACACCCTGCCCGCCGCCAGGGTGCCCTAGGTTTCTTGGGTTTCGATGGTTTTGCCATGGAAAGCGTGACGTTCCCACACCAAAACTGTGGACGTCCTGGGGTCTCAGGGTTGGGTTTCTTGTGGAAGGTTTCTTGTGGTCGGTCCTTTACTGTACTGAGCACGAGTCTGCGGCTCAGTGAACGACACCAGCAGTCAGGCGCCTCCCGTGCGCACTTCCCCTCCAGCCGCGCACCCTCCGCCAGTCGTTCGGCCCCGACGGCCCTGGTGGCAGCTCCTCAAGCTCGTGACCTAAGGCATTTTCTCAGTAAACCAACTGTCCTCGGGAGCGGCCAAGAGGGGGGTGATGACTAGGGGAGTGGATATCATGGCAGGGGGCCATGATATCTCCCCGGATTTCACGGCGCCTGTTCTCATTTCAATGCGTCCCCCGCCCCCCCCTGGGCCGCGCACATGTCGCCGGCCAGGATTTTGCGCCCCCCCCCCCCCCCCTTGTGCGCCCCCCTCTTGGCCGCCCCCGAAGTCCAGCTCACATCAGCAGATCACACAGGCATGCTGGAGTCGATTGCTGCACGGGGGACCGCGCGCGAGAGAGGCTTCAGTGCGTTCCATGGGGCGGTATCGTTTTTGGCCGCGTTGCGTGGCGTGCCAACCTCACGTGCCCACAGCCTGCAGATGCGGCCCTTCGGCAAGGAAACAAAGCTCGCCAGCCTGTGTCAGATAGCACATGTACATCCGCGCACCACTCAACGCCTGTTGGCAACCCAGTGTTTCAATCCCACATCTGCGGGTGACTCGTTCCATCCAAGACAGCAAGGCTCGCCAGCCTATGCCCAGTAGTTCACGCACATCCACGCACAACGCAGCGCCTATGTCAGCAGCTGTCTCACGCAATGCAGTATATATATATATATATTGCCACTCAGTTCATATCGCGCCATGAAGTTGGATATGTGGTGTCATGATAACTGTTCGCATCTATAACACACATCTTATATATTTATATTGCCATGGCATGCAGCTGCACATGTTGTGAATGACAAGCCGTTGCACATTTTGCCTCATGCAGTGCATGCCGTGCCCTGCAGCTGGCCACAGGCCACGACCTCAGGGTGGTCTGAGATGTCTGCACGCTGTCTTGCCACTAATCCGCACGCTTACGCCAACCGTCTATCTCTACTCTCTGCGCTCTGTCTGCTCTTTCTGCACGTGATGCCTGCTCGTGCCTGCCAGCGTTCACCTCGGCGGCGCTGCAGTAGGGCCGACGACCTTGAGGTCGACTTCGACCACCCTTATAGGCATGTCAATGCTGATGAAGCCCTGTAGGATGGTAGCTGCGTTCGGTTCCAGGCAGCGCCACTGCCAGTGCAACGCCATCCCCCATGCTGGCAGCAACTATACCCGAGCCGGAGACGCTGGTGCCATCGCCCAGGCAAGCTTGACCCATGTCCCTGCACATTCCCCATTTGCCTGTGATCAAGTTGGCTCCTGATCCTGTGTCTCCGTGCTTTCCGCAGCAGTCAGGCTTCCGCCGGAGATGCCTGCGTGCTTGATTCGGGCTAACGTTGAGTGCATTCTTTTGCAGCTGTTGCGCCTATGCCACTTGTTACAGCTTCTGTTCACGCATCGGCGAAACAGCGGCGGCGCATTACAGCTGGGATGCCCCTTTGTGAGGACAAACTGCACAGGTACAGTATCGCACATTTCCTGTGGGCAACGCCGTGGCGATGGTGGGAACGGCTGGGACGTACCATCAGGATTAAGAGCAAGCAGCTCGACGTTGTGGCGATGCTGCTCTACTTTTGCCCGCGCAGTGGAGGTGGGAGAGGCCGTTACAACATTGGGAACACCCACTACGCGCTGGACGGCCATGCCTCCAACCCGCTAGGGACAGACGCCAACGACGGCACCAGGTGGGAACACACCATGAACGACTTGCAGACAGTTGGACGTTGCGCGAGGGCTGGGCGAGTGCGTAACCGGCACGAAACTTCGACGCGTGGCCGAGGACAGTGTCGTCGTCGTCGTCGTCGTCGTCGTTGCTGACAGTTTTTACTCAGCGGGGCCTGGTTGGTACGGACACCGTGGCGACGTCAAGCAGCGCGTCTCTTGAATCGACCGCCGCCTCGTGCCCCGCTCTGTGCTGACGAAGATCACCAGGCTCGGGCAATCAGATGGGCCTACCAGGCGGCTGCAGGCAATCCCTGACCCGAAAACTCCGCGACCACAGAGGCGCCGCCGGCACGGAAGTCCGAGTACCACGCCGTCCCCCTGCCGCGGGAAGGTGGAGGCCGCGATCTGGCTGCTCCTCCTCCTCCCTTCGCTCCTCCCCCTTTTCGCTGCGCTGCGAGGGCGCATTAGGCTGGCGGGCCGAGGCTCCGAAGCCCATGCAACCAATTGGGTGGGTGTCCAGACTCTCGGCCGTAAGTGGATCCTAGGCTAGTGCTTGGTGAATGTCGGAACTTTGCCCCGTGAGATTTCTGGTGTGTTGTCCCCCTCCTCCTCCCACTCCTCCCCCTCTTCCCCCTCCTCCCCTTCCTCTTTCTCCTCCTCCTCCTCCTCCTCCCGCACCCTGTCCTCCACATCGCCCCCCACCTCCTCACCTCCTCCCTCCTCCGTTTTCCTTCCTCACTTTTCCGTCTTCGGTTTTGAGGTCAGCTTCCCCAAAGGGGTGCGCGATTGTTTTGACAGCCTGGTTATGTCGTGAGTTCGGAGTAACAAGCCACCAGCCTGGTGTAGTGCGCTGCAGTCGAACACTGAAACCGACACGTCATCTCCCGCAACTTCCTTCCTTCTCCCGCCCTCTTCCTTCCTCCTCTGGTCTTCTTTCTCCCTCTCCTTGATAATCCTCTCTCCTCCTCTTTCCCCCCGAGCTCTTCTTCTTCTTTCCCCCTTCTCCTCCCGCCTCCTCCTCCTCTTCCTCCTCCTCCTCTTCCTCCTCCTCTTCCTCCTCCCCTTCCTCCTCTTCCTCCTCCTCTTCCTCCTCCTCCTCCTCATCATCTTCCTCTTCCTCCTCATCCTCTTCCTCCTCTTCCTTTTCTCCGTTCGTGTGCCCTTGTGCCGGCCGGGCGCTTCCCACAGCGGTTTTGCAGCACCCGCGCGCGCCGTGTGTTCGGACACGGTGCTCACTCCGCGTCCCCTCGGTCTCGTCGCCGTCTTTTCGTGAAATTGCTGTCCTGTACTATGATGATCCAACCTACTTTAGCCTTGACCGCCAGAAAGAATTTTGAGCATCACGAAAGTACCGAAACTTGGGGGGGGGGTTCAAGTGTCGGGCCCTGGGAGGCGATACTCGTTCGACACCGTTTCGATACTTTTCTGGGCGCTCGAAATTACTTGTGGGATGTGGTCCTTAAGTACGAGGAGAGCAACATAAGTCCTGTAGCCTTCCTTCCACGATCTTCGAATGATATAGAACACTGCACAAGCGTAAACTTTCGATCGGCGCTATCCCCCCCTGATGGCGCCTTCGGCGCCGCCCCTGGAGCGCTCCTCGCGCTGGGGAGGGGTGTCCAGTGCCGATCCATCAAGTTCGCGCGGAGCCCCGACACCTCTTGTTCCTTTAGAGGAGCCCCAATCGCCCCCTCCCCCCCCCAGTCGCTGAGCACGTCCATCTCGTGTGCTGCGCGTCCTTGTGGCCCTTCTCTTGAGTGGCCACCCTCACCCAGCCGGCATCCCGACGAAGACGGTCGGCACGCTGCTTGGGTGTTATTGCCACGGCATGAAGCCCGTCGTGGGTTCGATGGCAGGTGCCGCCTGTGCCTTCCGCCATGGCGATTGAGGCACGATGCTTGTATTTCGTCTCGGCGGAGCTGATCAGTTCGGACGAAGGCCACGGGCTGAGCTTGAGAGGGCACTTTTTGAAGGCTTTAGGTCGCGGTGATGACCGCGACGAAGGCCACGGACTGAGCTTGAGAGGACACTTTTTGAAGGCATTAGTTCGTGAGGAGATGGGAAACCCCAGTTCCTATCGAGACGATTTTTCCTCTCGGGGATGAGCTTGAAGCCCTGATGACCACAAACGAAAATCCGTCTCGGCGGAGAGTGAGTACCTCCCCGCGGCGCCCACCTCCATCAAGACCTTGCGACCATCACCACCGCTGGAACTCAACCGACTGGCCCCAGTGGTGGCCGAACAAACATCCAGCCACCACCTGTATGTTTGGCTCCCGTTTCTCATCACATTTTTCTTGGCCGCCACTTTCGCCTCTTGCCTCCCCTGACACCGCCTTGCTCGCTTCTCCTCTGCACGCTCGGGGCACCATCTGATTGCGGCCGTGGCTCGGCGCTTCCGGCCCGACCCGGTGTTTGTTGCGACCGCCGTCCTGGCAAACAAGTGGGAAGGGATAGGCATTCCGCAAACCAATTCCCCATTGTCCCCCTCTTCCTTCATCTCCTGCTCTCTCTTTCCTCCTGTCCTTATTTCTGTGTCATCTTCCTCGTCTCAGACGAAAACTGATGAGAGATGGCTGATGGAGGAAACATTAGACGCATGACGCTACGTGCATTCTATCACCCTTGTCTCCAGCGTCCAGGTTTCCAAGCTGTCACGAGTGACTAAATGGTGCAGTTTTCTGCTCTTTCTTTCGCTGCATCTGCTCACGGCAGGAGCATGAAGATGGGCGACTTCGGGATCGCGAAGGTTCTCCCCTGGTCAGCGGGGGAATCGACACAAGAAGCATATTAGCAGACACCGTGCAGTTGTGGGAACGTGGGGGAGGGCAGCGAGAGGGCGCAGAGGAACGTCCCCCACGCCCAGGACAGCGTTTCGTGGCCCCACAGGGAGCTCCACCGAATGCCCCAGTGGGGGGGGGGCCACATGCGTCCCCCACGCCCAGGGCAGCGTTTCGTGGCCCCATAGGGAGCTCCACCGAAGGCCCCAGTGGGGGGGGCCACATGCGTCCCCACGCCCAGGACAGCGTTTCGTGGCCCCATCGGGAGCTCCACCGAAGGCCCCAGTGGGGGGGGCCACATGCGTCCCCCATGCCCAGGACAGCGTTTCGTGGCCCCATAGGGAGCTCCACCGAAGGCCCCAGTGGGGGGGGCCGCATGCGCCCCCCACTCCCAGGACAGCGTTTCGTGGCCCCCATAGGGAGCTCCACCGAAGGCCCCAGTGGGGGGGGCCGCATGCGTCTCCCCCACCCAGGACAGCGTTTCGTAGCCCCATAGGGAGCCCCACCGAAGTCCCAGTGGCACAGTTCACATGCGTCTCCCCCGCGCAGGACAGCGTTTCTTGGCCCATAGAGAGTACCACCGAATGCGATACTCACAACGACGGTATTCACAACTGCAAATGGTTGGGTCCTTCGCCAGGCTATTTTTTGTTTTTTAATCATATTTCTGTCAGTTCGCAAACCGGGCTGAACCAGGCGCACCTAGCTCGCATTGATACATTAAAACGTACTT